ACGGTTTGGCAGGGGCCAGGTTCAAACCCACCACCCTCGATATATGGGGCCAGCATCCTACCCACAGAGCCACAGTTACCTTCCAAGCTCTACATCTTTTAAGGGGTTAATATCCAAAATACAATCAAGCATTGCTTAATAACCAGGATACATTCTGAGAAATGCTCCATTAGATGATTTTGTTATGCAAACATCACAGAGTGAACTTAACACAAACCTAGGTTGGATAGCCTACTTTCTATCTGCTAAATGGCATAGCCTATTGTTTCTAGGTTACATACCTGTACAGCTTGTTACTATACCCAATACTCCAGGCGGTTGTAACACCATGGTAACTTTGCATATCTAAACATAGAAAAGGCATGTAAAAATACAGTATGATCTTCTTACGAGAGCTCCTTTGTTTATGCAGTCTGTTGTTGACTCACATGTCATTACGCAGCATACAACTGTATGAGGAATGCAGAGCAAGACAAATAACCTGATTAAAAAAATGTCTGATTAGGCATTTCTCAAAAGAACATACAAATAAATGGCCAACAGGTACATGAAAAGGTGGTACTCAGCATCACTAATCATGAGAGCAGTGCAAATCAAAACCACAATGAGGTATCCTCTCATCTTTTAGAATGGCTAAAAGTCATTAACCAAAAAGACAAAAGATAACAAATGTTGGCAAGATGTGGTTAGAAAAGGGAACTCTTGTACAGTGTTGGTAGGGGATATAAATTATACAGCCATAATAGAGAACAGCATGGAGGTTTCCCCCAAATTAAAAACAGAACTACCAGACAATCCAGCAATCTCAGTACTGGGCATTTGCCCAAAGAATTGAAAGTACTGTGTCAAAGAGATACCCGCCCTCCCATGTTGACTGCAGCCTTATCCACAATAGCCAAGATACAGAAGCAGGTGTCCAGTGTAGTGTATATGTACATACAATAGAATACTACTACTCCTTAAAGAAGGAAATCCTAACATTTGCAACAACGTGGATAAACTTGGAGATCAGTATCCAAAGTGAAATAAGTCACACACAAAAAGACAAATACCGTATGATCTGGCCTATATGTGAAATCTAAACAAGTGTAACTCAGAAGAGAAGGGTGGTTGCTGAGGGGCAGGGGAACTGGGGAGTTGTTGGTCAGTGGGTACAAAGTTTCAGTTATGTAGTGTGAATTCTGAAGATCTAATGTACAGCCTGGTGACTGTAGTTATTTATAACATATTACATAGTTTAAATTTGCTAAAAGAGTAAAAAGAGTAAAAGAGTAGAGTAAAAGTAGTAGAGTAAAAGAGCCTGTGGCTCAAGTGGCTAAGACACCAGCCACATACACCAAAGGCGACGGGTTCAAATCCAGCCTGGCCAGCTATACAACTGCAAGAAAAAATAGCCAGGCATTGTGGCAGGTGCCTGTGGTCCCAGCTACTTGGGAGGCTGAGACAGGAGACTCACTTGAGCCCCGGAGTTGGAGGTTGCTATTAGCTGTGATGCCACAGCACTCTACCCAGGGGGACAGCTTGAAGCTCTGTCTCAAAAAAAAAAAAAGAGTAGCTCTTAAATGTTCTTACCTTAAACAGACGTGAAAGTTAATGTGAGGTGATAGGCACACCTCACATTGGCTCGATAGCTTGATAATCATTTTAAATGTATGAGTATATCAAAACATAACACTGTATAATTTAAATTTGCCAGGTATACCCAAATAGTGCTGACGATAAGGGATTGATTATAAAATTTATGTGGAAATGCAAATGTTTGGTAAGAGCCAGGTTGATTCTGAAGAAAATGGGGCTTGGGGACACGGGCACTTGCCCTAAAATATGTCCAGATATCTGGACATATTTTATTATTTTGGTAATATAGGATTCATGCAGATTTAGACATACCTACCAAGGAAGAACCCAGAAATAGATCCTTCCTTTTGCACTATAAAATTTAAAGGAATGTGATACGTGACAGTAATGGCATTATAAATTGGTGAAGAAATGAGGGACTGTTTGTTAATTGGGACTGGAAAATTGTTTACTAGCTTGGGGAAACATTAAATCAGCCCCTTACACCATTTATAAAAATCATTGTAAGATGAGTAAAGACTTAAATTCAAAAGGGAAAGCTTAAAGTTTTTAGAAGGAAATAGGTAAATATTTATCTGGTTTGGCATGCATAGATTTCTGGCTTAGGATAGGTAGGAATTTTTTAGATGAGATTCAGAAAACTTCAATGAAAGAAAAGATGAGTGAGTTTTCCCATGTTTAAAGTAATAATTACTGTTTATTAAAAGATATCCTAAAACTAAAAAAATGAAAAAAATAAAGATATCCTAAAACTGACACAAGGGAGGAAGATATGTATAACAGTTGTAACTTATCGAGAATTTGTGTTCAGAATACACAAGGAACTTTTATAAATAGAGAATGAACCCTGTAAAGGTATTTCATAGAAGCAGTGAAAATGAGTGAGCTAATAGCTAACCACAGCTTCACGGGTGAAAACTTCATGTCAAAATGTTAGGCAAACAAAGCAGTTGCCAAAGACCATATACACTGTGTGATACTCTTTATTTAAAATGAAGTAAAATCGGGCGGTGCCTGTGCTCAGTGGGTAGGGCGCTGGCCCCATGTACCAAAGGTGGCGGGTTCAAACCCAGCCCCCACGAAACTGCAACAAAAAAGCTGGGTGTTGTGGAGGGCACCTGTCGTCCCAGCTGCTCGGGAGGCTGAGGCAGGAGAATTGCCTAAGCCCAGGAGTTGGAGGTTGCCCTGAGCAGTGTGATGCCACAGCACTCTACCGAGGGCGACAAAGTAAGACTCTGTCTCTACAAAAAAAAAAAAAAAGAAGAAGAAGAAGTAAGATTTGAGCAAATGATAACCAGAAAATTCAAGGTAGTAGTTACCTCATTAGTGATAGTCAGGGCAGTTGGATATGGAAGGAGCACATAGGTGGATATGTGTTATTGGCATGTAATTCTTAGGCAGGTGATGCGTGTGTATTTGTTATAAAATTTAGAAATAAATCAATTTAACAAAGTCATATAACAAGGACTAATAATAATCAAATGTATGAACAAAGGATTATAATTAACCTGTACCCGAGGTCCAAAATAAAATAACGTGTCTGTTTGTTGTGAATGCACACATTTATATACATGATTATGGGGGTACACCTCAAAGTGATGAGGGGCAGTCTGGGAGCTTACATTTCCTGGTGACTGACATGGGCAGGCATTCATCTGGATTTTCTCCAAAACAGATTGTGGTGGTAAGGTGGGGTCAGAGATCTGGCCAGGAACATCTGGAATTCTGTGGGTCTCCTCTTTTATGAATACCAGTTAAAGTGTGAAGAGCTTTGCCCCCCAGTTGTCATGCTCTCAACCAGAAGAAGAGTGAGGGTGCCAATAGCATGTGGAATTAGAACGTTGTCCTTTTAGAGGGCAGACATAATGAAGTGATATTATAGGGATAACATGAACATCAGAAAAACGTTTGAAAAGGAAGAAAAGAAGGTCAAGGGCTCCTTCACATTGTGTTTTAAAGAGGGAAAGATACTGTTCAGACATTTTTCTGATAGAGATTATCTGAAGGTAACCTATAGCTTTGAGCCTATGAAAAGTAGGTCCGAGTGGTACTATTTATGATACTAGAAAGAATAGTATATTAGTCATCAAAATACTCTTTTAGCTCTAAAACCAGGCAATGAGGCCCTGAAAAACAGGGACATACATCTTTGTGAGTGAACGCTTGAGAGTATTAATATGTTCTGCTCCTTGCTAACTCCGTGATTGCCTTTGAATTTTAGTCTCTTTATCTTTACACTACTACTCAGACTTACCTGTTTAACCTTATAATCTGAGAAATAGGTAAAAATCGTATAGGTGGAATTGTTTTACATGCTGTCAGATAACACTAACATTTTAATATGAAGTAAAGGTACAACTTTACTACATAGTAATAAAATAGTAATTTTTGTATGTTTAAAGAAAAAACTTGGCTGGGTATAATGGTTCACACTTGTAATCCTAGCACTCTGGGAGGCCTAGGCTCAGGAATTCCAGATCCAGCCTGAGCAAGAACAAGACCCCATCTCTACTAAAAATAGAAAAATTAGCCTAGCAGTTGTGGCAGGCACCTGCAGTCCCAGGTACTCAGAAGGCTGAGGTGGGAGGATCATTTGAACACAGGAGTTTGAGGTTGCTGTGAGCTAGGCTAATGCCATGGCACTCAAGCCTGGGGCAACAATTGGAGACTCTTGAGGACTCTGGAATGATTCAAAAAAATATTGCAGAGCCTTGAAATGCATACCATTGTGTATTGCTGACCTTGCCTTTTCTAGCTTTAAAGGTGATACCTTGATTATCTCCATTGATCTCAAAGGGTACCCACTACAAATTTACCCTTCCAGACTCTTGTAACAATGTCTTTTATAATAGTTAAGCTATCTGTGACGTAGCACTGATCAAGGAAAGGAAAATGTCTTGTCAAAATCCAAAAATGTAAAGAATTACAGAGTTTTAAACTTAATTAGTATTAGTAGCCATGACTAGATTTGTCAAGAAAACATGTTACTTAAATTATAAAATTCAGTATTTATTTATTAATGGGTTATATAAGAATGTTTGTCTTTAAGGAGGCAGGAGGCAGACAATTAAAATATTTGGACATTTTAGCTAAACAGGAATATATTAATTATTTTAAGTTAGGAAAGAATAAAAGTTGCTTATTCATTTAAGGTAGTAGAGAGAAATAAGGTATTACAATTTATTAGTTAATAATTTTATGTACATACTAAATATTACATTTTACAAATAATGAACTTGGGTTATTAATGTTAATAGGTATATCTGATTTTGTTTTATTTATATACTACCAAAATACAGTTAAAGAAGAAAACTTAGAAATTGAAAACTTAGAAATTAAAATCCACATTCATAGGCCACACACATCTTTGATTAACAAAATGGGATTTGTAAATAACTTAGACTTTTCTGTTTGTTTTTTAGTTACTAAGTCGAAAAGACAAAACTACCTTTGAAAAATTAGAGTATGTAATGAGTAAAGAAGATAACTACAAAAGACTCAGAGACTATATAAGTAGCTTAAAGATGACACCTTGCATTCCCTATTTAGGTGAGTTTTGTCACTGTATATTTATTGTTCCTAGTTGTTGCTCTTCATTAATCAGTAATTTATGTGAAATTCAAGGTATTTTTAAGGTGTATGTATCTTTTAAATAAATTATTTCAAGAGTGCTAAACTGAAAAAAATCGACTAAAGGAAGTTGTCTTATCACCTGGGATGTATTTTCATATTAAGGTAGCCATTTGCCCTCGAGGTTTTTCATAGACTGTTAGGTTTTCATAGAGATAGACCATCTAGTAAAACATATGTTTTAGCTTTTTAGTAATGCTTTTAAAGAATGACACAGTAGTTTGTAATAAAGGTTAGCACAGTAAAGAAATTGGTCAAAGTTCTTATATAATGTCAGCAGATATTTTAGTGTAAATTGTGAAGAGTAGTCTGATTGCATGTTGGTATTATTGATTACCTAGGTGAAAGGAGTTGATTAGCTATTGAAATTTAGCTTGGTGCTGACACAGTTCTGTATTTTACATATCATTTGACCAAGAATTCATCTCTTTCTTGTATGTCTTATAGTGTTTATAAATCCAAGTATTTAACCAATAACATTTTAAGATTATTTTCAGCAAAATATGAATAATGCTTTGTTATATGTCTGAATGAAAAGAAGTCCCAAATAAATTGTCATTTTGTATGTAAATTAAATATACAGAAACTGCAGTAAATGAGATATAACTAGCATACATTAAATAAATTGATTTGATCTTTAGTGAAGAGTGATCAGGTGATAAACATTTCTAATATCCCTTTTTCCAAACACATACCCCCAGTCCATACTCTTTTATGTAACTACTCAACCCAAATTTAAAGATAGCTGTTTCTGAGAGTAATTGGAAAGTCTGCTGTTCCTTTAGGAGACTTCACAATGTCACCTTCAATGGTGTTTTTATAGTACCAGTGTCTAGAAGACAAAATTGGGACAAAGGTGGTTGAAACCAGCCCACTCAGCTATTATTGAGCATCAGCCTTACTGTCCCAGCAAAGAGTTAAACATTTTAGAATATTGCAAGACATCTCAGGATTTTAGTGGAAAACTTAGGTTGAAGGCAAAGTACCCTTAAGCATAATTTAGTTAATGGCCTCTATGTATCAGAATATTATGTCCTGTTTCTTTGCTAGGACAGAGAAGCACTCCCTCTTCACCCTGTAGAAATTTTCCCAGTAAAGGTCACCATGGACTCCTAATTGAAAACATTTAATAGGTATTCCTCAAGCCGTATCTTAATTTTGAGTTGGTTGATGCCAGTTATTTCTCTTCCTTGAAACTTGGTTTTCCTTTCACATTTCTGACTTCTGTTTTATTGGCTGATCTTTCTCTGCCCTTCTCTTAAATGTATTCTTGTAAAGGTCTTGATCCACTTCTTTTCTTACTCTGTTCATTCTTGATCTTGAGGTCTTGATCCACTTCATCCTTACTCTGTTCAACCTAAATGACCTACATTGGTCATTTAGGTTTTTTCTATTACCTGAATACTCCCACATCTATATTAGACCCCTGTATCTAGATGTCTACAACTCCAGTTCACATCCAGAAGTAAATTCATTCTCTTTCCACCTTTCTCCAGACTTGATTCCCATCTTCCATGCTAGCTTCCTCTGCCAGTGATCTCATCCTTACAGCATTATCTACACTACTTCATACTGCGAACTGGTGTTCTACCAAATTACTTCTCCTTTTTATCTACTTCTCCTTAGTAAAACGAGGTGCATGTCAGAGGATTATACAAGAGTTTGAAGCAAGAGGTAAAAAGTGGCAAAGATCTTAAGATTTTAAAATAATCTAGGCAACGTAGCAAGACCCTGTCTTAAAAAAAAATGAAAAAAATTAGCTGGATGTGGTGGCATGCACCTGTAGTCCTAGCTATTCAGAGGTCAAAACAAGAGGATTGGTTGAGCCCAGGAGTTCAGGGTTACAGTGAACTATGGTTGCTCCACTGTGCTTTGACCTGGGCAACACAGTGAGACCCTTTCTTTAAAAAAAAAAAAAAAAAAAAAGGAGAGCATGTACGTTAGCATTTGCATTATTTGGTATACTGGTATTCCACATATAGTTCATTTCTATACTGTTATGGTGAAGAAGCATATTGATTATGAGATGACTGTGGACCACATGGCATAAACATTTGGTAGACTTGGGAAAGGAAAATAAAACATTTGTCAGATAAATTATTATGACTCAGTTTAGTTTGTTTCCAGCATGAAAATCATCCTTTTCATGTCATGACAGTTTTGTTTTATAGCAGACCTTGAAACTAAGTATATTCAGTTTATCAAAACCTACATGGTTTTTCCTAAGAAAATGTGAAGCACATCTCTTATCAACTTTTTAAGTGCTTGATTTACATCAAACAGGTGGTTTTTTTTTTATTCTTAATCTTCAATACTCAAGTGTATTGAAGGTTGTGATTTTAAAATTTAACTTGCATTGATTTCAGAATCTTTTCCTGTTCATTTGAAACTAGGCCTAGTACAGTTGCCAAAAACTTAAGTATTTATAAAATGCTGTACATCTGGTAGGACAGAACTTGCCCTGAAGATATATGAAAGATAATAGTCATCATGCAAATTAATAACATCATTAATATTCTTCTTCAAGTATGATAATTTGCATAATTGTATTTTTCTGCAGAAGTTCTTAAGATCCATAGTGTATAGAGAAAAGGTAAAGGCTAATCATCTATTTCTTAACACGAGAGAGGCGGTCCACACATAACTGTTTTCTCTTATAGAAATGATGATCAAAACTGACCTTTCCTTTGTGAAGCTTAAGAAAGGAGTAGGGGTTTACATGCTGACAAAACTTACTTTGGTGCTGCTAAATTTATCTGTATTTCAATGTGGATTAAATTATAAGAAGTAGAAAATGTTTCCTTGGCTTTTAACTCATCATCCTTTGAAAAATTGTCTCTTCTGCTGGTTTGCATTCAAGGTAAAAATTAGTCAGCTTGGACAATAGAGGGAAAAATTCTTAGAATAAGGATACAGTTTGTCTAGAGAGGAATAGTTTGGCAAATCTCAAGGAAAAAATTGTTTTATAAGAGAATTATTGCTTTAAATCTGAAAATCATTAAGCGCTCATTTGTTCTTGTCATTGGAGAACAATCTTAAGGGGCTTGTTGAAGAATTTGGCACAGTAAGTTTTGTTATGCTGCAGAGAGAAAAAACTGGAACATTGTAATTTAGTTGTATGGAGCATGATAAATACTCTTTCGTGTGCATTTTCTGAGCCTCATTTCTACTTTATTCATGTAATGGGAAGATGCAGTAGCTCAATTAGATTAGGATGCTTATTTTTAAAGCTGTGGAAATAAGTTGTCACAGTACTGTATATTGCTTCCCATTAAGTAGAAACAGAAGGTTATGGAGAAGTTTTAGCCCTTATGCTGGACATAAATGTGTCTAGGTGTGACTTCTCACTATTGCAGGCAGAGAACTCTCCTTTACCTTCCCAGCTTAATATGTCAGGTTTTATAGTAGGAGTTTCCTCTCTTGAGAAGGGAAGGGCTATTCTTAGAACCCTCTTCAGTGCAGTGTCCTCTGCCCACTGCTTTCTGAAAAGCATCCTATTTGTGATCTTTTCATTACTCTGTCTTCCCCTCAACAGTGCGTAAGCCGTTGGGCTTTATCCTTACAACATCTAGAACAAAAGTAAGCACTCAATAAATATTTGTTGTTCAATTTATTAATTAAATCCATATAGAAATAGAAATAGATGGTTAGCCTTTACCTTTTCTCTATACACTATTGATCCTAAGTAAGTTTCTTTGTTGTAATTTTTGTTTAAATACAGTAAATTTATTTGAGTGGCATATTTGCATGGGTCAACTCCTACCCACCCCCAATTTCCTTTTGGCATCTTAGCTGGCAACCATTATTTGCTTAGCACTGTGCTTGGTGCTAGGTATATAGCAGGAGATGAAATGGATTTTCCCTGCTTTTATGGATCTTAGTATTTCTTTACTAGCAGAGGTTCAGGTTGATATCGTTATCTCATGAATAATCTCTTTCCGGTGTTCTCAGAGAGATTTGTATCATTGTTTTGTGCCTTCCTTGAGTTGTTAGTGATGTCCTTATCACAATATATGAAAATTTAAAAGTACACCTAAAATTACATGAATTTCAGGTTTTATCACTTTTGTTTTTCAGTAGTTTTGTATATATTAAAGGGTTAAATACGGATCTCGTAGAATACAGTTCTTCAGTTTTACATTAGCTTTAGAAATTTCTATGTACAAATATTTTCAAAGAAGTTTTTTGTTCACATTTCTATTCAGATAATTTCAACAATATTCACGGCTTTCTGCTTGCTCTTTAGAAATTAATAGGATATTTTCTTGTCCCTTTGCTAGAATTTTACTTGATTAAATATATAAAAGGCTCTATAGCACTGATCTTAAAAATGTCAAATGGTTAAAAAATGTCATTGGCTTTTAGTATTTAAGAGTTTTGTTCCATTTTCCTTTCTTTTGTTTGATTTAAAGATATAAACATTATAGATTACCCTATTCTTTTGATTATATTTTGTTACATATTCTAAAATAGCAGTAAACCATATTCAGTAATTGTCTTTTGGATCCTGAGAATGGAACTCTTACCAAATGGCAGCCAGCCCTCGCTTATTCTTCAGCCAAAATTACGTCCACATTTTCCATTACCTCATTTATATCCTTTTTTACCCTTACTCTTTCTTATATATTTAAAATTCCTCTAGTAAGTTCTTTATTGTATATTTTCTGAAGTATACTTTAGACCATAGAGCTGTGATATGAAAGAGCTGAGAATATAGAGTTGTATTAATTTCATTACCACATTCATAGATTTTTTTTCTTTAAAAGCCCGTGGCTTTTTTAAGAGTGGCAGCCGTATAGATGTGCATGTTAATCAGAAACAGAAGCAGATTCTCCCACTTCCAGCACTTTGCCAGTGGTGATTCCAACTGTGAATATTTCCATAAGTTGTTTGGTAATTGAGCAAACCTTAGCAGAGAAATAATAACTTTAATAACTAACATTTATTCAGCACTTAACTCTATATGCCTGATGCTGTGCACTTTACAGCACTTTGTAAGGTAGGTGATATTTGTATTTTATAGGTAAAGAAACTTAAGGAGAGGGAAGTTAAGTTGACTTGCTAAAAAGATAACTATTATAACTTGCATTATAACTATTTCATTTTAGAGTTCAAAGAAAACAGATTACATTACAATTTTGGGACTCAGTTGTATTTAGGTTAAAATTTTGAGTTCATCAGTTTTTTCCTATAATTATCTATTGAATTGCAGTTTGATAACTAAACCCCACTGATGAAGGTGAAAAGTAAATTTGTTTCTATATGGGTCTTTTGGGGAGTTCATAACATTGTAAGTGGAATCATTCTTTTATTATTTGGTCATCTTTCACACATATTAGCAGAAAAGACTAAAAGCTGGGTGGGATCTAATCTTTACTATTAAGATTAATTTAAATATGCAGAAATCATGTTACTTTAGGGTGGATTTCTAAATAATTTCATAGTGGCACAGATTTTTCCAGGCGTTTTATATTATTATCAGTAGGAATCCTAAGAAATAAAATGCTAAAAGAATTAGCACTCTAAATTGAGTGAATATTAGTCTAAAATTGATCTTTACACTTCATCAGACTTACAGCATTAGAATAAGTTTATTTGGAGTTTTAAAAATCTGCTTCAGAGAGGCCCTGTATCCTAGGCATCAATGGCCTTCCATTGAGTACAGATTAAAGTTTAAATCTTTTGTAGGATGAACTTTATTAATTTATTAACAATAAAAACATAAGGAATTCTTCTATAAACCAGCTCTAAGGTAAGGTTATGGTTCAATCTTACTAAAACCAAGATAATTATGTCTTTATTCCTATGTAACCTACAAAATAGGTAGCTCTTGGACCTTACTGTTATACAAGTGCCTTAATCTGTTCTCTCACAACACTCTCTTCAGGCTGAAATTTCTACTACATCTATTCTTGCCTTAATTTTTCTTTTTTTTTTTTTTTTTTTGCAGTTTTTGGCTGGGGCTAGGTTTGAACCCGCCACCTCCGGCATATAGGGCCAGTGCCCTACTCCTTTGAGCCACAGGCGCCGCCCCTTAATTATTCTTTTTGTTTATGGTCCACCCTCTTTTAATTACCTGCCATAATAGCTGACGTGGCTCTGTTAGGTTTGCAAGTGAAGATCTCAGATCAGTGCCATTGCATACCTAAAATTTGGATCTTTTTAAAGATATTTATTGATCACCTGCTTTGTATAAGGTTCCGTGATTGGTACTGCAGAAAATACACAGATGAGTAGTAACAATATGATAGTTAAAATCTACTGAGTACTTAGAAATTCTAAATGTTTTACCTACATTTATTCATTCTACATGAGAGCTACATACTATTATTATCCTCATTTACAGATAAGGAAATTGAGGCTAGAATACAAATTGTTCAAGGTAACACAACTAGCAAATGGTAGAGCTGGGCCTCAAGCCTACACAGCCATCATATAATTGCTCTGTAAATCCCTGTAATTGCTCTCTCTCAGGAAACTTACACAACTTATTCTTTTTTTCTTTTTTCTTTCTTTCTTTTTTTTTTTTTTTTGAGACAGAGTCTTTCTTTGTTGCCCTCAGTAGAGTGCTGGGGAATCACAGCTCACAGCAACCTCAAATTCTTGGGCTCAAGTGATTCTCTTGCCTCAGCCTCCCAGTAGCTGAGACTACAGACGCCTGATCCCATGCCCGGCTATTTTTAGAGACAAGGTTTCACTCTGGCTCAGGTTGGTCTTAAACCCGTGAGCTCAGGCAGTTTGCCTGCCTCAGCCTCTCAGAGTGCTAGGATTATAGGCATGAGCCACCGCATCTTGCCCCCAACTTATTCTTAAGGTCTCTGGGAACTGCAGAGCAAAGCTATATCAGCTCTATGAAGATGAATAGAATGGGCCCATTGGCTAAGACAGTTTAGCATTCAGCCCAGTTTTCTAGTTTTATGTTAACTTTCACATTCTAGTTTTAATAGTAATCCTCTATGAAAATTCTATAAGACTTGTCTTTGATAAGGTTTTGGGTGTTTAGGTGAAATCCTATAGTTCTGTCAATAGATGGGATGCCTTGTTAAAGTTTTATTCAGTTAAGACTTGGTATAACAATTAGATGTCTAATTCCTTCCAGAAATCTTATAATAATTTTTTTTGGGGGGGGCGGGTTTGGGGATAGTAGAGGGGGACCTGAAAACCATTTTAAGATGACCATAGATAAAACAAAGAATAATATACTATATGATTTAGATCTAGATCTTTTTCTTCTTTCACCAGAAGTTTTATTTTAAGGTGTGGCAAGTGAAAAACAAGATGGTAGCAATGGAAATAATTTTATGGTTGGGGGTCACCACAACATGAGGTACTGTATTAAAGGGTCACAGCATTAGGAAGGTTGAGAACCACTGTTCCAGAAGATTGCTAATAGAATTACTGTTTACAAAATCGAGTTGAGGAAACTGAGGCACTAAGCATTACTCACACATACCATAAAATGGAAGTAGCAGTTTGGACCAGCCATGCCCTGTGGCTTCTGCTTGAAGCTATTGAATCCTCATTATTGAGAAAGCATTTAGTTTTTGAATTTGTTGTTGTCCCAACTGTAAGTATGGACTAATTCTTGTAAAGCTGTCCAAGCTTTCTGATTTGAATAGCAGATGGGTTTTTTTAATATTAAAGATCAGTAATTTTTTTCAAAAAAGTATTAATAAATGTATTTAGATTGTAATTGTAATCTGTAAAATCATTACACTAAATATTCTGCATTTTTATAATATTTTGCTGACTTTAGAACTACATATAATACATTTTAGGAGATGTTGATGTTTAGCATGTCTTATGTGATAACATTGAGAAGTTCATTTGTATATTTGCTTTTATAAATTTACTGTTTAAATAATGCATGCATTTGTGCAATTTTTTTTGTTTTTAAAAATGATAAGTATCTTAATACCATGGACCACTTAATTCCTTTGGGAAAATCAGCATAGACTACATTGTAAGAATTCACATTTAGTCATTACATGTGAAAGGCACAAATTCAATTTCAAATAACTTTTATTCAATAGAAATGTATTTTTTGTAGGCAAAATTAGAGGTTTCTCTCTAATTTCCTGTCTGTACTTTTATAAATAAAATGCATTACTTGATTGAAATTAAAAATTCTTTCCTTTGCTGGAATTTAGAGCAGTCTCATAGTTTTTAAATAAATTGTTAAGTATTTTGAACATGTATTCAGTTATGATTTAAAATAAAACTTTGTTTTATAATGTGGCAAATATTTACATTTTAGAAAACAAAGTTTGCCTTTATCTAGTCAATATAATTTTTAAAATAACTAGGAAATGGAGACAATCTTTTCCAATATATTGAAGGCAAATGAAAGTACATTCATAGATCCCTTTTACAGTTACGGTAAAATCGATTTTAAAACTATTATCTGTAGAAATAAATTGTGCAAAATAATATACATATCACATTTACATTTTTAGGAACTGAAAAATACAGAGTCTATGTCTCTTAATTTGGGGACTGTCTTTCTTCAGTCAATAGGCTTGATCATCATCTGAACTGCTCTCAAGGAATATGACCCGCCTCTGTATTCAGCCCAAAAAATTCCATCTTGCTGCTTGCTTCTATAATGGCCTCCTCTGTACCATACTCCATTTAGGTTAGAATGTGCACAGGCATTGTACCACCAGCCTCCTTTATGAAAGTGGGCACAGTTTCCTTTGAAGAAAAAATACAGACACAAAAGTGAAAACTTCTTTTAAGTGTGGTACGCTGCAAACCATCCAAAACTTACTCTACCTTGAATCAATTTAATTTGAGCTTCCCTGATTTCATTTACCTTTACCTTAGTATTGTTTCTTCGTTTACTCTTTTGCTATTGCCCCAGCTACTTAAAAGATCACTTGAATTGCCTTTTGCTATGTGCTTACTTAATATGTACTTTTTTTTTTTTTTTACAAAAGAGGAGAGGATTTAATTTTCCAGATAGCAGGGTAAATAAAATGCAAGCTGTGTTTTCTGTATCTGAGGAACAGAGGGAAACATTGGGAAGGAAAAATACAAAGTTGCCAAAGAAGAGAGTAAATTTTGGAGAAAATTGAATTCTCAAAATAGCAAAATATAATATAAAAGAAAATAGCACTACCAGCAATCAGATGAGTTTCTGTATATAAGGCATATGTTATGGTCGTATCCCTCCTTTCCTCCCTCTTTACCACTGTGAAATAGGTTAAAAGAGAGATCTGTGTACTGCTTGCCAAGATACAACTGAAGAGGAAAATAAATCAGGTTTGTGGGGGGAGGAATGTCTTTTACAGAGCCCAAATCCTGAGTTCAAAAGGCAAAAACCTATGCAAATTAAATATAAAATTGTATGGATGCTCTAATTGATTCTTTCTAATGAAAATATTAATTTACCTTTTGAATCACCCTTTTAGCTATTCCTCATAACATATGTCATAATCATCTTCCTTTCCCCTCTAAGAAATGCTCTTACACCAGATATCCACATGGCGTCTAAGTCTTTATTCAAAAGTGGTCTTTTTATGGTTTTACATGTAAAATGCAGGGTGTCCCAAAAGTCATCCCGAAAGTTGTTGTACAAAGGGAAAATGGGAAATTGTAGCTAAATGTACCTTTATTAAATATTCATTACAAAATTTTATGTGGCAAACACATACAGAATATTTTGTAACTACTTTGTAAGATTATGTAATGGATATTTTGTAAATAAAGGTACATTTAGCTAACAATTTCCCATTTTCCCTATTAGGGCAACTTTAAGAGTGACTTTTGGAACATCCTGCAGTACCCATCACAGGCCCTTCTGCTCATCCCTTTCTATTCCCTTATGTAGTTTTATTTTTCTTAGAGTACCTATTGCCACTTAGCAAATCATTTTGTTTTCTTCTCCTAGAAAAAAAGTTCAAAAGGGCAGAAACCTTGCTCACTGCTGTATCCTCAACACCTACAATTGTGCCTCACATATGATAGGTGTTTAGTTAGTATTATTATGAATTTTAGGCAGCTGCAGTTTTTCATTTCTAGATGAATATGTTTTTTGTTTGCTTTTTTCCCCCAGAACTTTGTTCTTTACAGAAATCACACTTGGAGGTTGCCTTATAAAAGAGATCCTTAAAGCTATTTTTTTTCAATAGGTATATTTACTTTGACTGTGTCCAAAATGATCTTTCTGAAAAGATTTTAATAGCATATACTTTAATAGCTACATCTTATTTAATGTATAGAAGGTGATGATTCTACACAGAATGAAAGTTTTTTTGTCTTACTCACCTGCATACATATCTTTATCTCTGTCCAGTGTGGTGAATTGTTTACCGTTATGCCACATCATAGAATCCCCTGCATTTCCCTGGTAAGTTCCCAGACGCAGTCTATAGAATTCACTTTCAGATTCCAGACGAAAGCTGCTGTATTCTGCATAAACTTTTTTATCACTCCAGTCTTCTAATTCGATCAACAGTTTGTAATTATCTTGATTGCTAAGCATATAGATATTTTCTAGTCCAAGCCAATATTCTCCATCAATATTTCCAAACCCTTTCTGTTAACAAATGAAGAAACACAGGTGTGTGAATAAGTTGTAGGTAGTAAACATTTTTATTGGTAAGTTTTAAACAGTAGGATAAAGACATCACCATTTAAACGGTAATGTGAACTTCCATTTTAATTGATCACCTGACTTTTATAAGTCGGACATTGTCACTTTGTTTTGTTTTGCATTTTTAAACTATGGCAGTACTGATTTGCATAGCCAGCTTCAAATCCTACAAACAAGCCAAAGGCAAAAGAGAATACAACTTACTCATAAGTTGTGAATACAACCCTGTGTATAAGAGAATACAACTTACTCATAAAACTAGTGAACTATTCACTTCCTTAAGAAGGGTTCCTAATTTTTCTACTACATCCAAAGAGCCGATTTTTTTTTCTAATAATAATCTTTGTAAAATATTAATAGTAAGTGTATGTATAAGTCATCCAAATTGAGAAGCATTATAAAGTACATCTTCAGTTTCCTTTTTATATTTTAATTTTGACTTTAAAATCAGAAGTGTGAGAATCATCTTTTTGACAAATGTAGATAAAGAAAAAAATCTGGATAGTAACTTCTCAACTTTATATCTTGCTTATTACATAGAACGCATACCTTTTTTTCTTGCACAATTGCAAGAGCTGCTTTATTTCAACTCCCCTAGGTCTGAATCACTGAGTTACCTTATAATTTTCCCAATTTCTGAAGAAGTTGACAGAGCCATCTGTTCTTTTCTGAATAACAGTCCAACCCCCAGGATCCAAACTGTTTTCACACCATAACTGCAATGGTCCATTGCTGTTTTCAGGTTTAATCATATAAATACCACTGACTGAATGCCCAGCTTCTTTTGCTTGCTGACAGTCTTTGAATGGTCCTGTAATTTAAATATCATTGATTATCAGGAAACTTAATATGAAAAAGGGTAGTTTTTAGTCGAGATTCCTAACTTAAAAAAAATATTATTAACTTTTATGTCTTTCTTACAGACACCACTTTTTATCGATAGTATGTACAATACTAGACAAATCTAAAGAAGCCAAGTAGAAGGATTATGCCAGTCCCACTACAGAAATAATTTATTTCCTTTTCCACTATTCTTGTCTTTTCATAGGCATACATTTTCGTATTGTTATAACTCTAATGCATGTAGAAAATAGGATTCTATCTTTGTAACAAACATTTCTATGGAGATTTAATCTCCCTTTTGACCACCTACAGTAGCTGTACATTTATAATAGGCCTATTCCTTTATCATTGAATGTAAGAGGTTATGTCTCACTTTTGCTACTATAAATAACACTGTACAAAGTTTCTTCATTCCTCTTGGCTTCATTTTTCCATATTTACTTATAAAAATGCTGAGGGTTTGATCTGCTGGATCAAAGGGATGCCAACTCCTCCACAGCTCTTCATAGTGCTGGGTTTATAGTTTCAGAAGTTTTGACTTTGGTGGAACTCACTATAGGCCCTTGAGACACTCAGAGAAAATGGATGCCACAATCTAGCAAGTTTTAGAAATGCTTGGCGCCGGTAACTCAGTGAATAGGGCACTGGCCACATGCACTGGAGCTGGCGAGTTCGAGCCTGGCCTGGGCCTGCTAAACAACAACAGCTGCAACCAAAAAATAGCCAGGCAAACTGTGGTATATGTACACCATGGAATACTATGCAGCCATTAAGAAGGATGGAGACTTTACATCCTTCTTGTTCACATGGATGGAGCTGGAGAATGTTCTTCTGAGCAAAGTATCAC